AAAACCCCTCCCCCCCCCCCCCCCCCCCGGCCCCCCCTCTCATGGCTCTGATTTCATTTTTCATTTTTTTATTTTTTATGGTTGTGGTTTCAGAATGTGTATTGTACGATATGCTTTGCTTGTTTTTTCCTTATTTCTATCAAGAATCATTCTTTTTTCTATCAAAGACCGAAGTTCTTTTCACTTCTTTATCGTCCCTTGAACTCTGTATATTTCTTATTGTAACTGACGAGATATACGTACCATCTGTTCGCAGTGAGTGCACTTTGAAAATGGTGAGACAGAAGATTCAGATCAAGAAGATTGATAACTTGACTGCACGCCAAGTGACCTTTTCAAAGAGAAGAAGAGGGGTTTTTAAGAAGGCTCAAGAACTCTCCACTCTTTGTGATGCTGAGATTGCCCTAATTGTTTTTTCTGCCACTGGAAAACTCTTCCATTATTCTAGCTCAAGGTATTCTAATTTCATCTCTTGATCTTCTCTCTCTTGAACACACACACACAACATGCTACTGGGGACGAAGCTTTGATGCTTTTGGCTACTGAGCTCAATCGCTTAGCTAGATTTGTATTGAAAGCTAAAGATATTAATAGGCTAAAACCACAGTGAGAATGATTAGAGAGAACGTTCTTCAGAGAAGGTACGAATTAAATGGGCAGTAATGGAAATTATTAGGTAGAAAATTGTAGCTCCAATATGGATGCAAATAATCGAGAAGTGTGATACAAAGGATCGAACAAAACTAGGGGCGAATGGTACACTGATCTATCGTATATATCACATGTTTTTTATGCTGTTTGCGTTTGTGAAGTAGCTTTTGGTGAAGGTGGTGGGGGGCAGGAAAATGTGAACACATGGATGGCACAAAACTGAAAGTATTCTAGTATCTCGTGTTGTTTTCAGCAAATTTTTTGATCTTCAATAGTCAGTGAATACTATTGAATATGTTCATTTTGAGAGTCAATGTGGGACAGTGGGTAGTACAGGTCATGAATGAAATAGCGCCCTCAGTGAGAGATGGCTTGGTTTCTTTATTTTGTGTCTAAGGTTTTCACCTTAAACATGTGAGAAATTAGTTGTTTTCCTATCCAACACTGTCTTGTCGAGTAAATACTCTGTTCAATGTGTTAAAAGTTTAAAAATAATGTGCTATAAAATGGTATCATGTCATGCAAATATCTTAAGTTGAAGTATTTAGCCACCCATAATTATGAAATTTGTGCATGCCTCGTAGCTTCGACTAGAAAATACTGATTCTGGCTTGCACCAGATTGGTTAAAAATTCCATTGGTTTACTATTCAATCAGATATCATCTTTAACAGTTACACTGGTTGCTTCTATTGCTTAAACAAGACATAGACCTATAGAAATTTCAAAAGTTGGCTCTCACATTTACATATGAAATGAAAAATCTTTATATAAGATTTTGCGAGTAGTAATCAACGTCTATGAGAACATTTAATCAATTTATGTTATCTAATAGCTTAAATGGTTTAGTATTATATATTCTGACGTTTCAAAGTGGTATTAAGTTCATACTCATACAAGTATAAATAAGGTCGCTATAGTTCTTGCTGTCACCTAAAAGGAATAACTGAAAACTTATATATAGCCGGTTAAGTTTAATTCTATATTGATTACTATTTCATTTTAATATTACTAATAAAATGTTGGGGATCGATAGATGTTGAGGGTGGTAAATAGGTGCTGACCTAGTTGGGACATCCAGGTGTACATATTAATTCCAATTCTTAACAATCTTATGCAAAAAATAAATGAAACTGCATGCATTTTCAACGTACCTTCTAGAATTTAATATGGTTGAATGTATGTACCGAAGTGGAAAAAAAAAAGTCATACTGTTGAGTTTCGTATTCATTACAAAATATGCAATAAGTCATACAGTTGAGTTTTCTATTCTATACCAAACGTGCCATTCTATTTATAAAATATGTTAGATTTTTATTTTGTCTTCCCCTAGTTTAATTCGTTGAAAACATTGTTCCCCCATGTTATATTCTGCAGCATGATGGAATTAATTGAAAGGCATGGAAGGCAATCAGAGAACTCGAGCAAATTAGGGCAACCATCTCTCCAACTTCAAGTGAGATCACACCATTTATAGACAATTCGAATTTAAATTTGTTGTTTGTGTTTATGCTTTATATATTGAAATTATAACAAGAAAATAAAGATGAATAAGACTTCAACATCGATTAATGCAGTCAATTTTAAACATTACCATGTGAGATTAAATAATGCAAACAAGATTATTTCCAGCTCATTAAATATAGATTTATCTTTTGTTGTATTTAGCCCCATGTGGGCAATTACTATGATGCAAATAGTCCCGTTTAATTTAAGATTATATTTTTTATTTTTATTACTTTAACTTATTAGTCTTTTATCATTTTATATTTAGTACGATTTTTATTAGGATTAGGAGTTTAATCAAAATATTAAGTTTTCTGGATTTTATTTATTTATTTTTATTTATTTATTTATTTATTTTTTTTGCATAAAAGTCTACTTAGGAGTAATTTGGTGTTATAATTGTGTTGTAGGATTGAAAGTGAATAGAAAGTTTGAGATTTTTCTTCTATTGTTCACCTAAATGGTTAATTCATGCACGCATTTTCCTTTTTAATCTCGTATTTGTTATTGTCTAGCTTCCACCCGTATCAATTGGTATTATAGCCTAGTCTACGCTTCTAACAATATATCGATGAGGACAAGTTAATTGTCGTTGTGCCATGATTGATAATGGAAACCATAGGCATGAACTAAGATAAATCTTCTAACATCTTGAAGTAGCACAAAAGGTGGCCACATTGGTTATACTTGCACAACAGATGCAACAAAAGGGCTTGCACGCCTTAAAAACACCTTTTTATGGCGTGCAATGTATGCCGTTTACGAACGCCGTTATTAGTTATACGAATGCGAGTTTTTTACTTTTAACGGCATGTGCCTACACTCCATAAATGCGAGTTTTTACTTGTCACACGCCGTGAAAGGTGACCCTGTTACCATTTAAAGCTTGCTTTTGCACGCCATAAATGTTAATTTAATTTTTAAAAATCTGTTTATTTATTTGAGTACCAGCACCTATAATAATTACATAAATCCAATTCCAACTCAACTAAGATAAAAATTAAAATATTTTTGAGTACAAACTAGCGTTATAAACAACATTAAACTAATTAATTATTCTAAGCTTAAATGAAAAATTAACCCAAACATGTATCATATAAATAAAATGTACCAACCAATATAACAATACTTTCCATTGCCTCAACCAACAGATATAAGTTCAACCAACAGTTCAAGTTATAAACTTCTCCCATACATGAGAATATATAATAACAACGATAGTCTTCAGCACAATAGACTTGGGAAGCAAAAAATAGTCTGAAAATTCTGATCAGTACAATTGGTTAAAAAAACTAATAGAGTACATACTGAGAGAAGAAGATTAATCCTAAAATATCTGGTAAACTTGTGGGAAATATCATGTAATTATTATAATCAACTGAACCTAGCTACTTATGATCCAAAATATAACAGCATTATCACAAGTTTGTAAGGGAATAGCATACAAGATTTTATTCAATTGCCCTTGGAACATCGTGCTTGAGCAGAAATTTGTGCAGAGCCAGAAAGAATAAAACTTCTCGCAGAAATAACTATAACCCGATTCACAAGACGTATCTAACACTAAGTGCATTACCTGGAGAAGTCTCCAAGGTGAATCCGGCCAGTGAATGGGGTCAACAGCCTGAACTGATGCTATGGTTCCCATGAACCAACTTATTCATGAAGAACCCTCTGTTTCAAAGGCCATCTTGAACCTCATGCCGGAGCACCAACGAATTTGCAATGCCGCCTTTATAAGAGACGCCTTCACACAAAACTCGGAAGTGCCAGATTGAGGATGATAAACCACCTCGAAAGGTTGTCCACTGGCAGCAAGAGTTGCAGCTTCAATAACTGATTCGGGCTTCACTTTTCCCTGGCCAATTAAATTCCTACCTGAATTTCCTCTACCATTTCCGGTCAATCTATTCTCATCTTCCCTCTGGAAGTCTGAAAACCCTCCGTATGGCATGAAGCAACTGCCACCTGCCGGATTCCACAGGGATGGTGTTTCCAGTCCTCCATCAATTCCTCTCTTCGCCCGCCTGATTCCAATGCAAAGATCCCCATTTTTGGCCCTCAGAAACACAACTGAATCACCTGCTACGAGTTTCTTGTGGTTCACTGTTAGGTCTAAAAGTGTAATTGGCGATTCTGTGGACAAAACGGACTACATTGTATAATTGTAAAAGTCAGGGACTTAATTGAACATTGGTGTAAAAGTCAGGGGCTTAGGGTGCAATTTGTATAGATGAGGTAAATTAGTGTTTGAGTTGTTGAAGGAGCCTAAGATGTCCAAGAAGATCACACAAGATCATCGGAATGCGATTGGAAGTCTAAAGAATATCAAAGAGCTGCACCAAATATGTTCTGAATTTTCAGTCATAACTTTCAATGCATTTTTCACATAAAAAACGTTGGAATTTGGAAAGGCTATTTCTAGAAGTAGTAGTCCTTTGAGTTATCTTTCCAAAGCAACTTGAATAACCTCAATCGGATATTGAAAGAGAAAATTATGATGAAAACACTGATGACTGTTCACTGTCGCTCGCTTCTCGCTGGCATTTCGCTCGAGCGAAAAAAATAGAATACCTCTCGCTCGAGATTCTCGCTGGCTCTCGCTCGAGCGACACTCCTATGCGGCAAAAATCCTATTTCACATTTTTGAAGTGTTTTACTCTGTCCATACCACTTAGACACCGTCAAATATAAATACTCAAGGCCTAGGACGAAATTGAAGGGGTTGCTACATTATTCTTTCATTGTAAAAGATATTCATAACATCTTTGAAGAGATCCAAGGTGCAATTAATTGGAGATTTCATCTACATCAATCTTGTGATTTGGCAACCAATGTTTTGGGTAAAAACATTGAATCTACATGACCCAAAGCACCTTACTTCCTTAATCTATTGAGGAAGGGACTCTCTCATTGGAGGATTGAGAGAGGTGAATTGAGGCGCAGTTACAAGCACAAGAACGGACGGTTCTTGGTGTTCCACTTGGTGATACAATCAGTTAAGGACGAGGAGGTTGTAATGAACAGCAGATTGGGCTGCAGGAGGTAGATCAGGAAGTTTAGCAAGAGGCTAGAAGTATTTACAGTAGTAGATCGTGAGACTAGAGTAGCGGGTCTGATTGGGTACGAAATTTGGTATAACTTGTACTTGCTGAATTGGTATAGTGGAGGTAACTGGCTTGGTCCCGGAGTTTTACCCACGTTGGGGTTTCTCCGTCATCATATTATTTATCATTTACTGTTTTGCATAATATACAAACTGCGGCATTCCAACATGGGTTAATTGACTTGTATGATTAATCACCTACACAACTAATTAAAGTAACTTTTTGCTTTAGTTAGATTAATTCCACACGTAAGGTCAAATTGGTTAAAGTGAAATTTAGAACGTAAACTTGGTAACGCATAGAATTTGAACTTGTTACTGTATCATGTTAGTCGAACTTTCTAGCATGTCTAAGCATTCTAGGTCAAATTTTTTTTCATTCACAAGAGTGCTCCATCCTGTTTGTTAGGATTATCCGAACCATTCATCCCAACAACCCCACTTTCATCAAAATAAGCCTCATTCCCATTAACGGGAACCAATCGCATTTTCGTAAAAACCTCATCAGTCTCAGGATCCGCCATGAATTTAACTGTAGGAACTCTACAAGGTATATAAGCCGGAACTCTAGGGCAGCTCCTAAAATCTACATTTCCTAAGGCGTGATCAGTTTGCCACTGTGGGAAGTAAAACACATTTGAATTCGTTGGAGGCATTTGTACCATACTACCAGCACAAGCATGCCATAATTGAGAATCCAAACATTTCTCTTTTTCCATCATTTTCTCTTTAGATTCTATAAATGTAATCATCTCAATCAGCAATTCTATCTCACAGGAATAAAACCCAAAACTCAATGCATAAAAGGCCCTTTCTTTACAATCTTGTTTGTCACACTTCAAAGCTCAAACATCCGTAGCTGCAAAATAAAGGTGGATTTCTTATGTATAATAACAAATCAATGTTTTCTACACAATAAATTTTTTTTTTATTTTTTTTTTACCAACAGTAATAAATTGAACCAAAAGAAATTCAGTTTTTTTTACCATTTTTATCTCCGGCTGCCAAACAAACCCATCTGCACAAACATAAAAAACTCCAGAACAATTCAAAATTGAAAAACTCAATCAAAATCTTCTAGTTCTTCTTGTTTAGTTCAGCAGAAAACACCCTAAAAGAAAGGGTAAACCCCGTAAAATATCAGCTCTCAAGCAACCAAAAAAAAAAAAAAAAAAAACACACAACTTTACAACCTCCCATCTATTTTCGACAAGAAAAAATACGAAAAAACCAATTGTAAGAAACTAACCATCTGTATTTCAAGAACTGGCCATCAAGCGGATTGAACTCAGTTACATCCTCAGTTGGAATGCAAGACTTATTCTGCTGCAAGATCACGTAGGGTGTTAGCTCACACCCCACGATCGGAATGTCCGATGGAAGGTGCAACTGAAGCACACTCAGCATTTTTCACAAAGCTCTCTAGATTTCAATTATGCAAACTCTTCTCCTGCCACCATTCCTTCAAACCCTAACCCAAAGAAAGCAAAAATTAGATATTTAAGCATTAACCACTGGCAGACTTGTGAGGGATCTGCCATCCCCTTTCTCCGACGCCAATCGCCAGACTTGCGCTCTATCTCTCTGTTAAAACCCTGAATTATGAAATTTAGAATTACTAAACAAATATGGCATAGCGAAGATCTACAGGAATGAGGGGGAATTGAATCGAAATGCGGAGGATGAGTAATTTAGAGGGGATTGATAGATACAAAAAATATTTCGATGATAATACGAGTATTTCTTTTAGATTACAGATTCAGAAGAAGGAAAAACCTAGAAAATGGAATGGATTGAAGAGAATAGAAATTACCTTGACGAAAGATGCTGGCCCTGTTTCGTAAAAGGTGGAAAACAATTGGGACAAAACGAAATAAGGTAAGGAAGAGCGGGAAAAAAGGGTATTTACGGTGTGCATATGCACGCCGTAATAAGTTAATGTATTTAAGGCGTGCATATGCATGCCGTAATAAGTTCACTTTTTTTAACAAACATGGCATGCCCTAAAAGAACGCCGTGAATATTCACATTTTACGACATGCACAAATGCACGCCGTAAACATGTAGAGTTATTGGTATTTTTGCTGCATACACATAGCGCATGCCGTAAATAGTTTTCTTTCACGGCATGTCATAAATGCGCGCCGTAAATTCATGCCGTAAAAATCCACTTTTGCTGTAGTTATATCTAAAACTAATTTATTGAAATAGAAGAGCTCCAATACCACTTGTTGGAAATGAAGGAGGCGAATATGACACATGTGAAGTATATGATTGCATATAGAAAACAAGATTAAAAGCAAGAAATAGATTGATTGAGGAATCAAGTATTTTATTTGACAACTAATGGAGAAAATAATATTGTCACGACAATTTCAGCAATTCTTCTAAAATAAATGAAGAGTCTATTATTTATAGGGGACATGTCGAAATCCTAGAAAAAAAACTAAAAGTTGGTAAGTAGGTTAAAATATGCGTGAAACAGACAAAAGGAGAAAATTCTAGATGACGCTAAGCAATAGATGAGTTGCAACTCCCTACTTCAAAAGTTCGCCTACTGCTCGATCAGCCAACTAGTGGTATGCTAGTGAAAATGCGACGACTTTTCTTCCCATTTCATTACTTTGATCTCTTCAATACCACTTCAACTAAAACTCTAATATCAACTAGAATTTTGGTCAAAATACAACAATGGCGATGGGCAAGAGGCATGAGGTGGTGGTCACGACGTGCGTGTTATGACTGACAAGGCTGGTGCGATGATGGGTTGAGTCATGAGCCTGATTGTAGATAAGTTTGCAAATGGAAAATTTAAAGATGGATAGTGTTCTGGCAATTGAGGGGCTGACGTTGGTTATGGGATTTGTGAGCAACCTCCATGGGGACAACAATATGAATCGGACCAAATACACTTCTTGAAACATTTAGAAATTCCAAAATTTTGCAGCGCAATGACTTGAATTTTTGGGTGATTTCTTAGGGATAAAATGGGATAGAAATGAAAAAAGTCTATTAGTTGCTCAAGTTTTTCAAGATTTCTAGAGGCAAGATATCTGCGATAATATCTATGTCATTTACGTATCAACTAAATCACTGTCCCTATAAGGTGTTAGATGAGCGACAAAAGATTCAAGGATGAATCTTTTCCAATCCAAGGTGAGTGGTACAAGTGGATTCCGTTTAATATCATATTTTATTGTTTATTTTTTATTACTGTTAATTAATTACTCTTTTATCATTTTGTCCAATAGGAACTATATTTTTATTAGGAATTTAATCAAAACAGATAAATTTTCTATAGATTGTTTTGCTTTGAAAGTCTAGTTAAGGGTTTTGTAGTAAGATGATTGATTTTGAATATTGAATTAAAACTTGAATTCTCTTTTCAGTTACCCACCTAAATGGTCAATTCGAAAAATTTATTTTTGTAATTTTAATTTCTGTTGTCCCTTTATACTTCTGCTTGCATCTAATTCTAATAAATAATCCAATTCCATTTTTGAGAAATGTTGTCAAATTTAGCAAAGTCTTAGTTCATACAAGCTAAAATAAAAATTATATGTTAAATAGCTAGGATAATTAAGAACTTGTTAGGAACCAGTTTCCAATTGTCTCAAACAAATAAATCCATCAACTTGAAGAAATTTATCGAGTCTTTTCTATGCCCTTGAGACTTGTTCTAAACTATAAAAGGCTCTCTTCAACTTCAAAACCTTGTCTTCGTGCCCTTTCACAACATGCCATGAGCAACGACGGATCTAGGTGATGGCAAGCTAGGGTCTGTTGGGAGAATTTATTTATTTTTTAACAGTAGATTAAATCTTTACCTTATATTAAAGGTAATTGATTCTAATTTCAAACATCCCTTATAGCTCAGTTGGTTAGAGCTTGCATAAACATATTTGAAGTCTCATGTTTGAATCCCTTGTCAATGGATTTGTTGTGTATTATTTTTATCAAAATTCAATAGGGAGAGGGACAATGGGGATTTGAACTTGTGATCTCTTGCAAGGGTTATTGTAAACTTAATCATTATGGTACCACTTGAATTATGTTGCTAAATTTAACAAAATAATATTTGTTAGGTTTTAACAGTTTTAATACAAACAATTTTAAAGATTTGAATCTGCGCTCTTCCTTCGAATTATACAAAATTTGGCTACAATGTCGTTTAATGAGTTCTATTTATTCTTATAACAGGATTATATATGTTCAATTTGAATGAAATATTTGTTATATTTGAACTGTAGGCCTTGTTCAGTTTCTATTTTTTTTCAAAATACATTTTTTCTCTACTTTTTTCATCCATACATTCTTCAATAAAATAATATTACACGTAAATTCAAAAATTTTCTTTATTTTTAGTCACACGTTCTTCGTCAAATCACTATTCCAAAATGCTTTTTTTTTTTTTTTTTTTTTGCAAAAGAATGGGTATCAAAAAGACTCTTAATATTTTATTGTGGCCGACGGTAAATGGTCAACGGTCGTCCCTGCTGACTCAAACTCTTGAATTCGTCCCTGCCCATGAGATTTTAGTATGTATACGTTTTATTGTAGAAATTCATTCAAAAATGTCGATTGAACATCCATTTTATGCTGCCATGAAAATGATAAGTCTTATTATTTCAAAAAGAGCTACTAGTGCAATGGTTTTGTCATAATTGACATCATGTTCCAGATTGTAGCTTTTAGCTACCAACATTTGTCTTGTAGCATTCGATTTCACCATTTACATTGTTTTTTTCCTCAAAAGTCCATGACTCCAATTGACTTTTGGCTAGTAGGTTGCATGACTAACTCCCAGGTATCATTCTTCTTAATAGATCTCTTCTTTCATGGCTTTCTCCATTATTATTTCTAATAGCATCATTGAAATTAATAATCGCATGATGGGCAAATAAACAAAATAAAGTTATTTTCTTGAGATGTTGAGATAACTCTTCGGTATCATTACAAATCTATCGAAAACATCTAAAATGATGTGGTATTTTACTTGAGGATGATGAAGATGAAGATGAAGATGAAGATGATGATATATCTTGGAGGTAGAGCTGATGATGTTAATTAAGGCGGAATCACGTCACCTTGTTCTCAACTCTTTTTCTTTATCCTATGTCGCGTATCCAATTTAACCGCAAAGAGAAAATCGTTTCCTAATTGGTTTAACTGAGATCATTGACAGTATGTCCCAATTTATGCCCACATTGATTTGGCTTTAGTGTAGTATAGGAAGTCTTTGCTTGATTGAGAGCTTCTAGAATGCCATTCATTGGAGATGTAAAAAAAAAAAAAAAAAAAAAAAAAAAAAAAAAAAAAAAAAAAAAAAAAAAAAAAAAAAAAAAAAAAAAAAAAAAAAGAAAAAGAAAAAAGAAAAAGAAAAAGAAAAAAGAAAAAGAAAAAGAAAAAGAAGTTCAAAGAAGAATAAATAGTTTCAAGCATGAGAAAAAGGGAGATGGAAAACCATTAATAAGAATTGACATATTCGTTGTGGCAAATAAGGAGCCAATTCTAAAAGTGATTTTGCCTTTGATCCAGTGGTAAGCCTTTCAAGTTCTTGAAGAAATTATAGTTTTCTTCTTGCCCAATTTCAACGCCGAACTCAACATCTCTACTTGTGATCACATTCTTATTTATTGTGTTGGAGAGCTAGTAATCTTTTCATCTTGAATCATAGCCTATTAAGATTTATTTCTCACTGTTGTCATCTAGTTTGGTCCTTCTTTCTTTCGAAATATGAGATAAAGCAATGCTTATGAAAACTTGAATGTAATATACTTTGCTTGAGTTCACTCCATGCTTCTTGATGAGTCATTTTGCACACTTTGGTGGGACAACTATTCAACAAATGCACAGCACACTAAGCAATTTCAGTCAAGAACTTTTTTGGTATCTTCTTAGTTTTCAGCATACTTCAAGTCATTTTCATTATTGTCATATTCTTTTCTCTGCTACGCCATTTGTTTAGAAGACAAGTGAAAATGAAAAAAATGCCATGATCTTAACAAAAATTCTTGAATGTGTTGCTAATATAATCACCACCATGATTTTAGCATAAGTTTTTGATCTTGTGACTACTTTGATTATTCACCATCGCCTTGAAATTCTTGTAAGCTTCAATTGCATCAGACTTTTCTATAAGAAAATCACCTAATATTTTACGAGAAAAGTCATGAATAAATGAAATGAAGTAATTTCTTTTATCAAATTATGCAGGCTGGAGCGATCATAGAGATCCATATGCACTAATTTAGTAGTCTCGATGCTCGAAAACTTGCTTCTTTTGGGAAAGTTTTCTGATTTCTTTTCATAGGCTCTTTGCAAAGTTGATTTGGATGATAAATATGTTATGGCCCCTTCACCATATTTCACTTTGTAAAGATGTTTAGACCGTCAAAACTTAAATTGCCATGTTTCAAATGTAATGTTGAATCTTTGACCTATGCCTGCAAACACTCTACTTCTCAACTTTGAATATTCACAAGATTATTTGGTTCTATATGATTGGAACTCTATGAATAAAAATTGGATAAAACTCAAAACATTTGTCTTCATAAAAGGAATATAGTAAACACTGAATATATATTGTTCTTCATTCTTCATTTGGATGAGAATTTTACCCTTGACTTGCACCTTTGAATCATTACCAAATGTAATGTGGTCATTTAGTTCTTCAAGTTCCATGAAGATAGATTGATCTCCATACATATGATTACTTGCTTAGGTGTATAAGTACCAAGAATTATTGCCTCCTTGTACCTTGTATTTTCAAGAGTAAAATTCATTTTCATATCTTTATTTTAATCGTAGCTGGATTGCTCCCCCACATTGTTACTTCAGTACTAACATACAAAATGACTAAGCCTGTGAAAATTATATCATTCAATTTGAGATTTATCATATCTTCAACCATTATTCTTTTCTTCCTCTTTTTTGAGATTGTCTTCCTCGCCCTCTTGAATTATATGAATATTGGATTGATGTTGAGAATTTCTTTCTCCACTTCTATGTCCTCTTCCATGTTTTCTACCTCTTTGGTTCATATTGTTCTTCTTACTCACAACTTCATCGATAATCATTTCTTCCAAATCTTTTGATTCTTCTACTGCCATTGCAGTGAAAATTAAAATTTTTATGTAATAATCAAATTTTTATTCCGATCACTAAAATCACTTACTTCTTTACGATGCCTTTTCATCTCATTGATAATCACCAATCGTCGTGAAGACTAATTTGAAATTCAATCGGTACTTTCATGGATAGAGCTTCATGTTCTCCTGTCAATGATTGAAGATGAACCTTTTTAATTTTTTTCGCACATTTATATGTAATTTGAAAAATCCCATATGCTTGCTTTGAATGGTAGCATTTTTTACACCTTTTGAAAAATTGTATCATTAAGATTTTGATGAATCATACTAAGAGCCTTTTGATTCTTCATCTTAGTTGCTTGTTGCAAATCTATTCGTGTTTAAGACCCGCCTTCTTCATTTTAAGTTTCAAAACTGTTCTCTACCAAGTCCATAAATTTTGACTTCCAACATATGCTTTCATACGGATACAGCACTTATTATAGTTATCATCAGTGAGTTGATGAACGGAAAGATAATTACTGTTTGTGATCTCTTATTTCCACAATCTTATAAATGGCTCTAATGCCACTTTTGTTGGAAACTTGGAGATGGAAAACTTTTGAAAGATGAAAAAGAATATTCTATTTATTTCTTAGCTCCCCAAAATCACTTATGGAACGACTTTTAGAAGATAAGACAATATTCAAGTGAATGCTCAACTTTATATGTTAACACTCCTAAATAACTTATGGAAAATGAGTACATTCACTGATATTTCATTGGTTTCACAAAACATGAATTTAATCAAATACATGTACTAGTTATTATAGGCAAACAAATCTTGAAAATAATTCATATATTTTCCAAGTACATGAATAATCCCAAAAGACATGAATGAACTTAACTAAATAAAGGTCGAACTTGACTAAATAAATGAAGAATATATTTCAACAATATAATGTCAAAAACACAAAATGTTATGTCATGTGTGATATTTGAATAACCCTATTTGCATTTTTCTCTCAGGAAAATGATAGCCATGGCTTGCTCAGCAAGATGCTAGTGGAGAAGACTCGTGAATTAAGGTAAAATATGGCGGTGAATTAAAGATTTGCTGTTACGCATATTCAAGTGCGTTGCACAGTTGAGACACAATTATAACTATGATAGGCAACTCAAGGGAGAAGAGCTCCAAGGACTTGACACGGATGAGTTGATCAAACTAGAGAAAAGGGTACAAGGAGTACTAAACCATGTTGTGGAAACAAAGGTATTATTACCTACATTTCCGTGTTTTCCAGTGTTTCCTGTTTAGATTTTTTGTGCTAACATCTTTGTCTTTCTGTGGGAAGAATGACAAGTTTTTTAAAGAGATAAATATGCTCATGAAAAAGGCAAGACCTCAAACTTTATCCTTCAATGAAAAATATAATCATGCTGCTCCTTGTTAAGAGATAAATTCGATAAATAGATAAAATCAACAACTAAAGGCTTGGGCTAATTAGTTGACTTTCCTTATATGCAGGAATCGAAATTAATGGAAGAAAATGCTAAGTTGAAACAGCTAGCAGAAGTGAGAGTTGATCTTTAATTTCCAAAGTTATATATCATTTCTCATACTGCATGCTCGCATTGGAATTTAGTAGTAAATTTCGCGTTCTCAAGTCATAAAGTGAGCTGTTTATGCAGAAACCTGATGGTACTGGAAATAGTATTGAGCAAAGCAATTCATCCGAGTGTATCACCAATTCTCATGGCTCTGATACTTCCCTCAGGCTGGGGTACTTAATTTTTCATTAGATTCATGTGACCTAATTCAAATTTAAACAAAAAAGTACTGTCTTAGTAGGCTGTAGTCTCAGATCTTTTTGACCGTGTGTTTATGTTAATTTTGGCAGCTTACCTTTCTCCAACTGAAGATGATGCCAGGAGACTACAGCCGAGAAGGATAATTGTCTATTTTTCTAAGTAGGATATGATTATAAATTGTTGTGTAAGTGAGTTGAGTGTTAGGGGCCAATGTTGTGGATTTACGTGGCTTCTGATCATCTAAATCTTCTGTTTTGAATTTGCTTGTGCCATACATTTATGCTGAAATCATGCTATTGAAATCATACTATCCAAGGAAATTTACGAGGTACATAAAAGTGAAATTTGACTATGGTCAGTTGG